AGAAATGGAAGTCAGTGCCAGAATGATTGTCACAAGTGCAAAAATTTATTAACTGAAAAAAAGATAAAGTCACTCATTAGCCTATCTCTGGAATTTTGATTAGTACTAAGCAAGAAAGCCTTTGACAATTCACGTATCTGGCCATACATGCTGTTCCACTGTGGTCTTCTCCTGAGTCACCAAAATCCGAGCATCCCACACAAAAAAAAGCTCTCGAGCACATAAGAACACCGTGCATACCCTGCAGTTGATTGTCCCTGCGAGGACACCAGGGCTGCCTGGCCTCACACCACTGGGCAGCCCCAGCCCCATTGGTACAGCCCTGGACCACTGGCAGCTATGCTCTGCGCCGACACCATTCACAGCCACAGCAGTGTGAGTCAGCTCAATTCCCTATTCAAATCCTGTTCTGCCTCCATTTTCTTTCTGCCAAGGCACAAATAATCTGAGACACAAAACAAGCCTGGTAGCCAACTAAAATTAACCTCTCCAAACATATATAATGAGCTAAAATGACTCCACTCAATTGCTATGCCAGCTATCACAGTCTCTAATAGCTGAAGAATCATATTTATAGGATGTCCCTAAATGTGCATACCAGACTACTTGAGATTTTAAGCTAAATTAACTCCTAGGCACTTAGTGTTGGTGCTCTGATACCAGCTGAGAAATCTGGTCTTGACTTCTTGTCTCTTTTCTTTCATTTTAAGTGATAGGCTTTGCTCAAGTACATATGTCCTTTCACTTGACGAATTTTGATCAACTGTAGTTTTTAGTAAGACAGCACTAAACCCATACCCTTTAGGATTTTATCAGCAACTCCACAAGCTCACATTGCAAGCTCCTAGGTGTCATACTAACTGGGTCTAGATCTGCTTTGACAAAGGCAATGGGGCTACACACCACTTTAACAAATTTATGGAGCTGTGGGCATTGATGACCAAAATTCCCAGATCCAAAAATTTTCCACGGGATACTAACAGTCCTAAACAGTAACTATTAAAACAGTAACTTTCAGAATGAAAGCTGTTAAGGCTTTTTGGGGTAATGAGAGTTTCAGAGAACAACCACTCTCTTTAGGAAGCCTGAAGAATGCAAGCCTTCTGCTGCTGATGATGCAGGTGGCTGCTGTGGGGGCACAGAACATGTGTTGCACTTTGGCAAGGTCCCACCTGGCCACAGGCAGGATGGCAAAAATAAAGTCTTGGGTACAGGTAGAGGAAGGACTCACTTAAGCCAGTGCAGTCACTAACTGCTGACTGATGTGCACCAAGAGACCTTCCGGTACTGCTCAGATAGGAAATGTCCTCCACAGATACACGTTCTTCATGTAGTGAAGTTGCCACAGTGCACTGCTTGAGCAGTATTTCTTAGAAGGTTAGGGGTGACTAGCTACTAAACATCTATTTAAATAAAACTCATTTCATCTAGACAAAGACTTCAATACGCATCAGTGCAACAGTCAAATGTCCCCAGGTAGAAGATGAGGGACAAAAACAGCAGGCGTGGAAGTCCTGCAGAAGGGCCTTCAATGGCTTCACCACCCTCCCACGTGCCCACCCCAAAACTCATTTACTTGGTCTTTTGCTTTATGCAGCTGAAAGATCTTTTTTTTTTAATTAAGAAAAGATTGGTAGGTACAGCTGCAATTTCAACACAGCTCTTTCCAAGACTCTCCACTCGCTCTGCCTTACTACCAGATACACAGTTCCTTTCCAACACGTACACGTTACAATTCTTTCTTTGAATTTTTTGTCCTTGTGATGTTAACATAAGATGGAAGTTATCAGCCTATGACAGAGAAAACAGGCAAGCACTGGAGTACCCATTTTAAGTCATGTTGCCTGTTGTCTTGGCAACCAGTTAATAAGCTCTGTTACTCATTTTTCACCAGCACCTGACACATCTCTGCAAGATTTGGTATTCTTAAGGAGTCTGCTAACTCAGATGCTTTACAAGGTATTGGAAAAGATCTGCTGGCATTTCCATTCTGAATCCTATTTTTTAGGAATCATAAATCACCCATTAATTGCCCAGCAGCTGAATATAGGATGCACAAATACCACT